TTTTTTTTTTTTTTTTTTTTTGGTTAAATATTTATCGTTCTATATGTCAAAATCAATACACTTTCGCGTGAACGAGTGGTCGAGTTACCACACGAACCAGTGCGGTAAGACTCTATTTACGTGTAACGTGTCAGTAGATTATTCATTCGATGCTACTTCCGTACAAAAGATGTCCGATCTATTCAAGAATCTACAGACAGCGGTTCGCGAAAGTACTCGAACGTTTGCGGCCTGAACTTTTCACCAATGAAATACGGACGTTGGACAAATCGCGAGACCTTTAAAATAACGTGTATTTCGTTTCAAGTAATATACGAGTGTTGGGAATCTCCGGGTAAAATCTTAAAGCGATTTGATAAATATAGAATTTGCGGAGCAACAACTCCTATATACAATCGCTCGCGAAAAATTTCCAACGTTTACAGTCGAAAGTTTTAACAAATGAAACACGCATCTTCGATTCAAACCTCCAAGACGAGATACTGTACCTAAAATAAGACGCAAGCTTTGATAATTGAAAGGAAAATTATAAAAAATATTCCGCAACAAATATAAAATTTGTGGAGTTATTCCTACACAAAAACACTGGTGAAACGTGTTCATATGTTCCATGTAGTTACACGTTTCTTATCATTCGCTAACAAACGACTTCGTGTCATGAAAATTTTTAGTATGGTACTTACTGTCTTTAAATTCTCATTTACAAACGATGTCCTTTTATTTGCAGACGAGTTTTTGCCATCGATACATTTATTATGCTCCAAGTTTTAATTTGCAAATTTAATTCTTTGCCAAAATTCCTCGTTCGAAGAAGACATGCAACTACGTTACATACGCAGGTTGAATAAATCAGATTAACTTTTTTCGTAGTATGATGGAAAACTGGGAAGAAAAGTTGCTACCTATTCCATGTGCATAATGTTTATTTATATTTCTATAACAAAGCGTTTATTCGCAAATTTTTACATTTTTTTTTCTTCTCGTGACTTTTGCATTAAGTTCTCATAGTTTGACGAAAAATTCCCGGAAATCCTGTATATCAAATTGATCGTTCACAATTTTTCAGTCAGAAATTAGTACAATTTTGCATCAATACTTGTCGAAAGGCTACTTAATGCAATTAAAATATGTTGACATATGCAAATAACGAATGTGATGTATGAGAATATATAAACAATGTAATAATATAACAACATATACAAAGAATACGCGAGATATGCTCATATGACTATAATAATGATAGTTTTATGCTTGCTAATACTCATTTCAAGCTTATTAATCTTATGTTTATTAATTATTATTACAATTTAAATTACAATAGATAACATTTGAAAATATCTGTTCGAAATTGCATATTTAAACTTACTCCAATAGCATTCTTTAATTTCTATTCTCTTCTATTTGGTGTACTGTACTTACTATAATAGATATTCCATTAGTAGTGCTATCGTCACTTGTTCTCTTAGTACGTCCTTTCTTAATTTTCGTTCTACGTACAAGAGTTTCTAAACGCTGCGTCAGTTGTAATTTCTTATCGCAATAAACTTTCTTTTCGCATATTTTGCAATTGGACTTAATAATATGGACGAACCTCTAGCAGTGAGACAAATTTTTATTTAGGTTTTATTCTCTTACCTATTTTCTACAAATATATACATGTACGGATTACTGTTTGATTACTAAATATAAAGTATAAGATAAAAATATATATTTATCACGAGCTAAATGAGGCTAGGAGTAAAGCATAAACTAAAAGACTAGACTGATAACTGATCTATAAATTACGCAACCAACCGGTACTCTCACGTCACTCTCGCTGAAAATTCCGTAAAAGAGTGTCTGGAGACAACCCTTGCACCCTTATTTATGCCTAGCAATTGCTCTTCTTTCGCACGCAGGTTTTCTTTCTCGATCACTCATAAACATCCCGTCTATACAATCCTTGCACGCGATCACTTGTCCTTCCACATACACTCCAGATATCACCCTAAACATTCGATCTAAATCCGAGGCTGCTGTCTTGAATGTTTTTTTTTCTAATTTTTTAGATAACTGACGATTTCCTACAAATAACAAACATTTATTATTCATGAGTACTACATACGAATTTCTAACACATATTATACTTACAATTAGTTCAACGTTTATTGTCGGTTCCTATATAAGCACAATATCGTTGAACTTTCATTGATTTCTAGAAAAAACCAATGAAATATATAAATAACTAGGTTTACTAATTAACGACTATAAATATTTAAGTGTTTAAAATAATAAACAAAATTAAATAGAAGAACGGTTTTGACAATATGAAATTTGTCAAATATTTCGAAATTGCTTCTCTATACATAATAAAGAAGAAAATGTAACTTTTAGTAGTAAAATTATTATGTACCGTATAGTTATGTATCAGTATAGGCGAACAGTCAAAAAAAACATTTAATGTACTAAAATTTGTAGAATTTATTTTTGCATTTAACTTTCTCTTAATTTTTTGAATAACCGTTAGATACCCATATATTAAATTTACCTCCATTGGAAAATATTACGTTAAAACAAATAAATTTGTTAACAAATACAACATGCTGTCTTTTCTCAGACTTATTTCCTACTTTGTATGATCTTCGATTTTCCTATTTCTCTGTTTCTAAGATTTCCTTCTGGTAAACCACTTTACATTGTTTCACTGTAGGCATAACTATTTTAAGAAATTTTGAACAAAATTCAATCTGTAGTACGTTTATTTTCCAATCCTTGCTTAATTTTCGGACAATGAAGCAACGAAACAATTTTTGTAGCTTCTTTGTACCATAATCACTTTATTCTCAATTTTTTATACTCTGTTGTACTTTTTAACAACATTTTATATCGTTACGTGACTTTTGTGTATAATATTTATTAGTTAGTACATGTATAGATAAAGGAAATGTATCTACTAGTAATAAATTAATAATAAAAACGAAATGTTCAAAACTATCTTACTGAAAATATCCAAATATTAGTTTATAAAAATATATCACAGAAATAATTTTTGTTACTATAATTTTGAAAAATATGATATATATCGTTGCCAAACGTAATATATGAATATGATAAATTCTTCTAACAATTTAGTTTGCGAAAAATCATAGAAGTTCACTATTGAAAATTTACAATTACAGTGTAAAGCAATAAACTATACATACTCGGGAAATTTGTTAAAATCATGACTATCAATTTGTTTCACGATAGTTGGTCCTATGGTCAATCTCATCTTTAATTTTGTTTTAAAAAGTGCAACAGAATTGTTTTAACCAAAACCGATAAAATATAAATTAATTCTTCTCGACATGTACAACTAAATATATTCTATTGTATTAGCAAATAGTAAATACAGTAATTCGCTAGTAAACGTTTTTTTAAATAAATTATTTGTTACATAATTAAACGATATTCTTGTGTTATTAATAATGTTTTTTATTGTTGCAGATTTTTCATTTGAATTGTTTGTAAATTTGTTATGTCCTTATATATTTGCATCATTGTTAATATTTTCTTTGTTATGTTATTGCAGATTGTTGCAAATTAATATACTTTGTAGTTCAAGATCTCATACACTATGGTATAAAAATTGATTGGGTGAAACACGATAATTTTACGATATGTTACTTTGCTACATTACTCCATTCCATATTCGATTTATTTTACATTTATTTGTGTTTATATTATAATGCTATCTGTTTCTCATAAATTGATTAAATTAATTTTAATAAAAAAATTTGGATTGCAGATTTAGGAAAAAGTAAAATTTAAAAAATGACAAATTTTGAAATGCAAAATATGAAAAACTCATATTGAGTATTTTTGGAATCATTTCGTCAATTAGCAACAAATAGAATCTGAGGGTTTTAAATCGCACAAACACATCACACATTCATAGCAGCCATCTTACTTTCTCAAGAAGTACGTATTTCAAGTTTTCAGTTTGAAAAATCATTACTTACGATATTAATAAATTTCAGCATATTTTTAAATATACGTATTTTCAAGAAATGGAATAAAAATAAATCGATTTTTTAATAATTCATTCTCACATGAAAATGATCCCTTAAGAAAGCTAGACACGTCTCCATGCCTAGGCCCATGCACTTCATTATTCACTCCTAGTCCTTTTCCTTTACGTTTCTGTTGGAAATAGGGATCTACAATGCATGTCTGGCAGCTCTGACTTTGTGATTTACAGTTGGTACTTTTAGATTACTGACTGTTCTAATTGTAGAAGGCGCGAAAATATTTCTAATGCTTCATCTCTACAAATACAGTTAGTTCTTCCCAGTAATTTTATTTATTGCAATTGTCATATAATTTACGTTATTATTATTTGTTATACAAGTAAATTTTTGTAGATGAAATAAAATATGTTAAAAATCTGTATACCACTTAAGATAAAATAGCTGCATACATGTACAAATGAAAACAATCTAAAATTTTAGGTTAATATTATGTTTATATACTAAAAACATTTTATAACTATAAAATTTATATTTATATATAATTGCATCATATATAATTGACTTAAATAGCAAATTAGTATATAATAAACAACAAATTATATAACTTGAAAAGTAACAATAACTAATAGTAAATTAATATTGAGTAATATCAAAAAGATTAATACTGAATGAAGTTTTGTAGCTATTTAATAGATATTAGAGTATAATTTAACTAATATGTTTCAACAACTATTACCTAAACGAATAATTCCTTATCTTCCAAAATATTACCGATTGGATTTAATCAAATACATGTCAAATGATTCGAAAAAGAATGGTAATAATCAGGAAGTACCAAGTACAGATCAATTTGAGAAAGATTCTTTCCAACTTTCCTATGAAACACAAGAAGTGATACATTTACTTGAAGAAGCAGCCACTTTTGAAGATGTGGATAATAAAGATTGGATGACAACACCATATCCTAAAGATACAAAGATAAATGTTAAAAAAGAAACTGTACCAAAAATTAATCCGAAAGATACCTCTGTGATATTATTTCCTGGCCAAGGTATTATTAAAGTTGGCATGATTAAAAAATATCTAGGTTATAAAAATGCTACAGAACTTTTTGATGTAGCTAAAGAAATTATTAATTTTGATTTATTAAACCTTTGTTTGAATGGTCCACAAGAAAAATTAAATAGGACGCAATTTAATCAACTTGCCACGGTAGTATCATCTCTGGCTGCTTTGGAAGTAATTAGAGAAGAAAAACCAAAAGTATTTGAAAGTTGTATTGCTACAGCAGGTTATAGTATAGGAGAGATAACTGCTTTAATTTTTTCTGGAGCTATAAATTTCGAAGATGGAATTCGGTTAGCATGGACTAGAGGACAAGCTATGCAGTATGCCTCAGATATAGTACCTCAAGGAATGTTATCAGTGTCATATGCATCAAAAGCACAAGTTCAAAAAGCTTGTGCAGACGCAGAAAATTGGGCAATGAATATAGGAGTTCAAACCCCAGTATGCAAGTAATATTTCCTTGTTATTTTATTTAATATTTAATGTATAATAAATAAAATTTCATATATATATTTTACATATATTCATAATATTAAATAATTATTTTTAGGATTGCTATTTATCTAACTACAGAACGGAAAATAATAGCAGGAAACATAGAAGCATTGAAATATATTGAAGAACATAAAGAACAATATGGTTTTATTAATTTGTCTAGATTACCTGTGTCAGGAGCATTCCATACACCATTAATGAACCCTGCTTTAAAATCGGTTTCTAAAATGTTAAATTCTATAGAAATTCATGAACCTAGATGTAGGGTATATTCCAATCAAAAAGCTGCTCCATACTCAAATGTACGATTAATTAAAAAATTGATAATGAAGCAAATTGTATCACCAGTCAAGTGGGAACAGTGTTTACACAAAATATATTCAAGGCCTCCTGAAATAGAATTTCCACAAACATATGATATAGGATCAAATGGAAAAATGAAAACTATTTTAAAATTAGTTAACGTAAGAGCAGCGCAATCATGTACTGTAATTTAATATATAGCTGATGATAATCTAAAAGTTAGATTATTAATGTTATTAAAATAATTTTCTTAACTTTTTTATTTTATCTCTTCATTACAATTAATTTACTTTGATTGTACATAACATCACAGAAAATGAAAATTTATCATATTTATACATAATGCAATAATGTCTTTATGATGATAAACTGAAAAGAAAATACATTTCAGATTAGCAATGTCATAACATTATATTTAATTTTACTTTACTCCTATATTCTATTTAAGAAGTGTACATATGCATACAAATAAATATACTTGAATTCTTAATAATTAAATCATCACAGATATAGACTTGTGTTGTTTATTATAAATAAACAAATAAGTATATATATTAAAATTAAGTATCAACGTTAAGTACTAATATAAAGATTATTATAAATTAAATATATTTATAAAAAGTAGGTGCTTTTGCAACATAACAATTTGTATTATTATTTATCTTGATTATATATTAATTATGCAGAAATTTAAACAATAATAATGTAAATAAGAAGGATAAATAGACATTATAAATAAATTACTAATGAATACATAAATAAATAGTAAAATAACATGATTTAATTCACATGTAATAATTTGATTCATGTAAAAAAAAATACATTTTATGTAATTAATAATATAATAAACTTTTTTATAAACTTAACATTACTAATAATTATGAGTATTTTATAAATACTATCAATTTGAGATAGTATAATTTAATTTAAACTATGTAATGTTATGATTTTCTTTTTAGTTTTTTTAAACATTATTTTTTTTCCTAAAATATAAATATTGCTACTTAATAATTTGAAATTTATTATTATATTAAATAATTTTTTTATTTATTTATACAAGTTCAGAATTCTATACATAAATTTTATTAATTGCTCTAATAATATGACAAGATATTAATATATTATCTCTATATAACATAACACATTTAAATACATTAATTAAAACTGTTCTATATACAACATTATTTTATGAAAATTTTATTTTTCTTTATAAATTGTATTATTGAATATTATTCTTTAATTATTTTACTAGTAAGAATTTTATAATAAACACATGATATCGTTTTATTTAGTAATAATAACAGAAAGCAATATAATTTCCGAGACTGTTAGAACAAAATTGAAAGGGTTTTGGAACACAGCATTTATAGCGTTCTGTATGGTTATAGGGAAGAAAAAGCGGTATGAAACTGAAATTGTAATTTTATTGTAATATAAACATTCAGCATCATGAAACTAGTAAGGTATGTAAGCAAATGTATAGTTTGTAATAACTTATTAAGAAGTAATAAAATGTTTATGGAAAATTGGAATTATAAATGTAAAAAATTAATTAAATTTGTGAAGATTATTATTTAACGTTTTATTACACAGTATTTAAATTTTTCTTAATCTTCTAACATAAATAATATTGACAATTTCAGATTTCTAATGAAGCTCAGTCATGAAACTGTAACGATAGAATTAAAAAACGGTACTCAAGTGCATGGTACTATTACCGGTATGTCAACATAACCTACACAAAATTTATCATGTGTGATTATATTTTCATTCAAATATAATATTATACTTTCAATTTTTATTTAAAGGAGTTGATGTGGCAATGAACACGCATTTGAAGACAGTAAAAATGACAATAAAAAATAGAGATCCTGTACAATTAGATACACTAAGTTTACGAGGCAATAATATAAGGTACTATATATTACCAGATTCATTACCACTTGAAACATTACTCATAGATGATACACCAAAAGCAAAAGCAAAGAAAAAGGAGGCTGCCAGAGGTTTGTAAATACAATTATTATTATTAATTTATGAATATAAAAATTTACTAATTTATTCAGATCATGGTTCTAAACAGAAAGTGTTACATAGCTCTATTTTTAAAGCTTAATAGATAAATGTATATTATTTATTAAAATTAAATTTTTGCCAATTTTATGTTTTAATTACTTATTGTATTTTTATAGAGATTATTTTTCATATATTTTGGGTTTCTTCAATGATCTTTTATTTTAACATAGTTTTAATAATGTACTTATATTATATTTTCTGGTCAAGTACCATAGATATGCAAATAATAAGATGACTATTCGTTGTAGCATAATCTGTTGTAGGTATTTTAAAAATTTATTATAATTTGATCAAACTATGTATTTCCTAGGAATATTTAATATTTTATATGTATTATACAGAATTGATCCAGTTCATAATTCCATTTTTTTATGGTCCTTGATGCATGAGAAGATATATTTTAAAATCTTGAAGTTTGAAAAATTTGCATGTGTAGGATCATTCTTAACACTTTTATAACTGTTAGTTGTCAACTGAAGGTTTAGTTAAATGTATATAATTTTCAAAAGTTTATAGCTAAACATTGCAAGGGGCTGCTATTTAATTGTGTATGAATATAAAAAATATTTCTTGTCACAATGTTAAAATTGATAGAGTTGCTTAAATTCATTAAATATATTTTTTGGAAATGAATATAATGAATTTAAAATTCGTAATATTCATTTTATACATAAAATTTAATGATATTTTTACAGATTTATTTTACATTATAATTCTGTGTGATATCTGATAATAATTTTAAGTATAAAATATATTATTAAATTAAGAAATAAAATAGATTTAATAAGTATAACATCATGTAACAAGGTTTTAGTTTTACTACAGGTTTACTTTTAAACCTGAATTAACTAAAGTTTAGTTTACTACAAGTTTAACTACATTGTTGATACTCAGTTACAAATTTTGCAATGATGTAAGATTAATCACTGGCATTCATCTAAACAATTTAAAATGATTTAGGACTATGTTACTGGTCTTCAGTTGAAAAATCTGAAAGGATATAGGATTATATTACTGATTCGAAAAGGGGTTAACATTTATGAATAAAACGAATAAAATAAATTAACATTTATGAATAAAAATATAATAAAAAATTTTTCTATTTAATTGAAACTTTTTGAAATATATAAATACAATAGAAATATACATATTAAGAAATTCTGTTTTTTGTAATGCAATGCAAGAAAACCATTTATACATAAATCCTTTATATCAACATTATCTTCAGGAGCAGTACGAGGTCGAGGACGAGGTGGTCGTGGTACCAGAGGAGGCCGGGGAGGACGAGGACGAGGAAGGGGTAGACGATAATCATATGTTATTATTATGTATTCCATTAAAATAATTAAATCAGTCTTTTCTATCTTAAAGAAATATATTGACATAATGTGCTATCATATAATATAAAAATAATTCAATAAATTGTATTGTTTTTGTAATTTAACAGAGCTTTTGATTGTTACACTAACAGATTTTCAAATTACACTCTATCTTTCTTGTTTAGAAATGCTTAGAAATATTGAAGTTCATGTAATTTTTCACAAATGTTAAAAATATATTAGTTAATAGAATATTTGTCAACATATTACATTTCATGTAAAAGCTAGTTCCAAGCTATCTGTTACAAATGATTTTAAACTTAGATAGAAAACTAAAAATATTAATATCTAAATTATTGAAATATCGTAATAGTACTAGGCAATAATTCTGTGCCTAAAGCTATAACATAAAATCTCTTAAAATATTTCCAATAGAAAATAAGATACTTGAAAGCGCACCATGAAAGCATGGTTGTATCACTGCATTATTATTAATAATATTAATTTATAAATTGTTGCCATATATTTGCTACATAAATCCAGAATTGTAAAGAAGCAGTTTATATCTTTATATAAAAGGTTATAACGTATTACAGTAGAGCAGCTAAAGAACTGAGGCGCCAGACCCACAATAAATATATCCACTGGCGACAACACTTATGCGATTTTTGATCCATTTGACTCAACTTAACCTGACAGGCACTTGACGAATAGACCACCATCAAAGCCTTCCATAACCCGTCCATCTATTAAAACAGCTACCAATTAAAACAAAATCTGCTCCAGTTCCAAATTCATCCCTCCACAGCATAATAAACCAATAGAAAAGTACTCCGAAGGCATATTTAGACGTTCAGAAAATACCGACCGACAGAACTCGAACAATAATAAACTAAACAAATTCTACAGAATTTGACAAGCCAGGAACTTATTCTTTCTCAACTAATTGTAAGCCTGTATGGTTAAGTCCCAGAGGGTTTTGAAAAAACACTGTCAGACTATCCCAAGCAGCGCGACCGCGCTGCCTCTAAGCGGGTACGCGATGACCCAAGAAACGCGATAGCGCTTCTATTTTATGTCGAGAAATCCCAAGCGGCATGATAACGCTTCGTTTATATTATGACGTTAATGGCCAAGTGGCGCGATAGCGCTTCGACTTCGACAGTCGGTAACGCACTGTCAGCTGTCGAGAACGCTCGAAATGTGCTGGGTCTTCTCGACATGAAATCTGAACAGCGCGATCGCGCTGCTTGGACAAAACGGTTAAGACCGGCGCCCTGATCATCGCACATAATCGGTATCATTGAACTTACAACTCCACGAAACACAAAAATGTTGCGAGAATAGGGAGCCAATAATATGAATTTGGAAAGCGAATGATGTATAAATTATCTAAGATATTAGTAACATGTTAAGATAAATAAGATGGAAATTACACTGGGAAAAGAAAGTTTAAAAATTATATAGTAAATATATATTTCTTACATTAAATAAAAATATATCACAAATACAATTAAAAACACTCGTTTTAAAATTACAAATAAGTTTGTATGTAGTTATATAAACAGTTTACAAAAACACACAGTGCAAAAAGATTTTGACAAATTTTTATTTGAATGCTTATAGAACATATTTTATATACTTTTAATGTATGTTTACTGAAGTCTTTCGGCACCACATAATCTTCAAACTATTGGTGAAAGTTGACTTGAATGAATTACTCAAAATCTGTTTATTCTGTCTCAGTTTTAAAAAAAGAACCACACTTTAACATTAAAAGAAATATAAATTAAAGGAGTTTGAAAAAGTAATAATGTGCTTTTGTTAGTTTTTTGCAAAAATCAAAGTTTTGACAAACTGCAGAATGCATGGATTGATCCTTATAATTTTGAAGTTTGTTATAACGGATGAGATCCTGAACAACTTTTATTTGAACAATAATTCCCAGTTGAGCTTTGTTTTTGTGATATTTGCAAATATTTTTTGTACTATTCTATTAAACTCTGTACATGTATCGTAGACATATTGCATTTACAGGGGATCACTGCTGGCCAATTTGACTAACTGTCTAAAAGAGAAACTTGAAATGGAAAAGAGTAGTGTTGCGATAATGAAGTAGTAAAGCCTAATTGATCGAATTATATTTTATTTTATAAGATACAAAATTTTAATTATAATAAAATCCCTTTAATTTCATTATCTTACTTTCATTCTAAGTCAGATAAGCATATCAATCAAATCAAAATAGTATACTGATTTCTAACATGGATTGCAGATTTAATATTTTTGATCAATGTGTGTTTTCTATCAAGGAAAGTACTCATATTTGATTATGACTATTTTTATAAGAAAAAATGTGATTATCACTGTAACACACTGCAGTAGACATGTAGTAGATCAATATTGGTCTACGAATCAGATAGTATTTGAATTTTGTATTCTTATTTCCTATAACTTGAATGTCAAACCATTTATAATTAAGAGTATATTTGTTGATCAATTCGGGAATTTAATAAGAAAATCGGTTTAAAAACTGAAATAAGACTGATATTTCAAGAACTAGCGAAAGTGTAATTAAGACCAATAAAAATTTCAGTTGGTTATAAATGATTTGGAAAGAATTTTCGTTTAACAATCATTGCCCCAATTATTTATTTCTAGAACTGTAACAAGTTTATACTCATGATAACTAATTATATATCGCGTTATTTATTAGTACATTACTTATTACAATGATTAAAAAATACTTAGTTACTATAAATAAGTACGAAAGGTAAGGAAGCAAATATGTTCCTGGTAAATATGTTCAACAAGATTTTGATTTTTCCTTTTTTCATTATTTATAAATTGGGACATTAACAATGTTAAACGAACATTATCTTAGCATGCAAATAGTAGTTTAATTCACACTAATTCATTTCGTTATAAGGAAACATAATACTAAGGTTTCGTCAATATTGCCGAGGATAACTATATACGAATATACTATCGTACGCTCAAGTAATTCCAGAGACTGTCACTAGGTGTCTCATTCGCTGTATACTTTTCTCGCAAGTGCTTGATCTACTATGTACATCTGTATATATACAAGTTTTAAATCCCCCTCCATAGTAAGAAATGCAAGTTGCAGCTACTAGCGTTGGAAAATGATGATATGTAATATTATAGGGGCTCTAATAAAATTGTATAAGCAATAAGCATAAAATAAGCAGCGCAGCAGAACGCCTGTATTGGTGGTGCTTTTCTCTTGCCCCTCATCGTTTTATGATCATGACGAGTAGAAATTTAATTCCAAACAGTCGTTTTCGTTCGCTTTTTTCTATATATAGGAAATCATATACAATGAGCAGCGAACAAGTGCCATTATTTCGAGCTGAGACATCAGCCATCGAAACTGATTGGTCTGCTACAAGATTCGTGCTTAACGGGTACATGAATAGCGGCGGCGATGTGTTGGAACAATTAGGATACACACCGTGGTTTGAGTTGGGACCAATTCGATTCTATCGTCAACCTTTGGACTACTTCATATTATGGGGACATAGAGTAATGCTAACAACTATACAAATTCCTGTTCGATTGTCGATCCAATTTTCCACTGCAATCGCGATCAGTTCCGTTACTTTCACTCTAGCAAAATTGATATCTCTCTTGGAGAATCGCGGTAGATCGCTCGAGCACGAGGAGTATATATGAATGAACTGCTGCGTGCGATCCATCTCTTCGACTAGGGAATCTTAGAATCAAAGTATCAAGGTGTCACGAGATGTGATATTTGGACCTTTTAATAACGTAGTAATTTTTTTTTATAATTAGTGAGGAAAGGTTAGTTAGAAGAGATCTCACTGATTTTAATGACTTTTGAATATGGTGTAGAAATCATAATTTTGAACAATTTTTTCCTATGCATGTAACCGCCGCTTGGCCACAGTTTCCGAGATTTCTGTGAAAAATTATTGTTACTACTATAGTCGCTCTTCGTAAGATGCCACTGAGTACTACGGGCGACTATAGTCGCTCTCCATAAAATGCCGCGTATTGTACATACGACGAGCATCTGTAGTTATTGCACATCAACTATCTCACTCTGCAGCAGTGACATACAGCGTGAATACTATGTTTTGCATTATTCGTTTATTACGGACCTCAATACTCAGCAAACCAAATGCCTCTAACGATCGGTCTCGTCTCAACTTGAGTATTCGAACCTTACTTAAGTCTAACTATTTTACCTAGCAATTAATTTAACGAGGTTCAGCATTTCATTTTCTGTTTCAATTTTTTTTATTGCCATCATCCGAAGATGGAAACATTTCAGCCATTATTGATTACATATATTTGTAACCAATTGGCTTGGTTGCATATATTTATATATTCATACAATTTCGTTCTAAATTCTATGAGAGAAATGATTTAAAGTGATAGATTGCACATTATTCGTCGTTGGTTATAGAAACAAGAGATAAGGGGCTATCGTCGGATGACGGATACAAAGTCACAGATATGTACGTATAGACAGAATTCAATGTAGTAGCAGCGTTCTTTTTGAGGAAAAATTTCGTAAACTAAGACCAAGCGGTTGTTACATGTATGAGAAAAAGTTCTTCAAAATGTTGATTTTTACAACTAATATTAATGATATTTGAAAATCATTGAAAACGGTGAGACCTCCCTTCCCCGATTAACTAATTAATTACCGTTGCAATGATAGAATAGCAAAGTCTAGTATCGATGCGTAGCTACCTCCACGTTAGCGAGTCCTGGTAATTGGTATTATTTTCGAAATATTTGTTTTTGAGAAGCGATACCAAGCCAAGAGCTACGCATAAAATTAAATATATGTATTTGAAATCCATTTATTTCAATATTCTTTCTCACTTTATTGTTTTTTACTGTAAAAAACTTCTAGAATTCTATTGAAAGCTCAGAAATGTAAAATATATGGTAGGCATTCAAATGTAAATTAAGATAGAATGAACTAGTTATAAATTTGATATTCGATTTTGCTTCATGAGATATCAACTGTTCTCTGACATTTTTTTACATTTTTACTAAGGTAGTTTG